GGGGCCTTGCTTAGCCACCTTGCGGGGGTTTCGGTTTCGCCCCGGCGGGTTGTTTTTCCCTTTTCTTGGTCTGTGTGCTTTTTTGGAGGCTCGTGCAGTTTTAAGGGCGATGTAAAGGGAAAACCAACTGCTTCCCCCTATTCTCACCATTGTTTTGGCTCGGGTTTTGAAAGTCAGCCCTACGCTTTTTGGCCCCCCTTCCAAGGAAAAAACAACCACACGAGGGAGATGTGGGCGTCTTTCTGTTTATAGGGGACCCCCCGAAATGCGTTTATTTTTGGGGGGGTTCCCTTGAAAGCCACCCCAAAAGGGGCCAAAAAGACAGACCCACGTGCAGTTCACCAGGCAGGAGGCCCCTGGCATCCAGCGGCAGAATGCTCCACGCATGTTTGCGATAATTCGCCGGCTTCACGTCTAGAGTCACCGGCCCTTGAGTAGTTTCATTTAGTTGCGCTATTTCGTAATTGGCGAGTACAAGCCGGTGTTGCTTGCTTCATGGCTGCCAAAGGGGCGTTGGCAGAGGCCGGCAGGTTGTTTGTTTTTGTAGTTGTCTTGCGTTGTCTTTGGTGGTGTTTTGTTTCACGTTTGCCTTGTGTACTTCAAGCTGGAGCTTGAACTGGAGGAAGACGGATACACGAGCACCATCAAAGCCTCTGAGCAATATGCAAAGGGAGAGACATGTCACAAACATCCTTCACTCGGCCCTCAGCTTTTGCGCCGGCAAAGGGAGCTCGGAGTGTTTTGTTTTAGCCGAAGATGCTTGATCAAGCGCTCTCGGTTGAGCCGTCATTTTGCCTGGGTGGTGCTTCCCAAAATAAGGAACCCCCTTTGTGGGTGGGGTGGTTTCCTTTTGGTTCCATCCAAAACGGGTGTTCACCATTTCACCATCACAAGTCTATTGATGACGGCCGACGGCAAAGAAGCATGAGACCCATTCGTTTCATCCTGATCAACAGACCCATTTCCTTCGGGGGGGCTTCTGGAAATGGACCATTACCCAGGGGAACGAGAATGACCCAGAAAGAGAGCATGGCACCTTTGGACCATTCCCCGGGTTCAACCATGGAATTCGGATTTTCCCTCCCCGACCCAGTCCCTCCTGTTTCCACAAAGCAAGACCGGGACTTTTGCTTTGCAAGAGACCCCACGGCTTTTTGAGCTTGGAGGAACCAGGAGAAGGCGGATTCCAAAGATTTCAGGCTAAGCGCTGGACGGATTTGAAGTCCTCTCCATGAAACTCACCCTTCTGGGGGTCAGGGATGGACCAAGACCTTGCTACAGGAGTACACTATTCCCCCCAAAGCTCAAACAAGCTTTGTCTCTTGTTTTTTGTTGGGGGGGGGACCAGGCATATTTACTCCAAACGCTTCCAGTTAGGGCCTCGTTTCAGTTGGCGGCTTGGGTGGGTGGCGCTTCCTTCTCAGCGGGGGAACCCGGTGTCCTCAATTTTGAGGCAAACCGATCTCCAAATGTCCGTACGGTTTGCAACACACGTGCCCCACCATCCTCCCCTTTGGAGGCGATGTTGTAAACCCAACCACGTGTGTCTCCAAACGGACTCCCATAAAGCAACAGCCATCTGGGGTACCCTCAAAAACCACACACCGCTTGTTTCCAGGAGAAAAATAACGACTATGTGGCACATGTGGGGTACCTTCAAACAACCACACACCGCTGTCCCTAGGAAAAAGACAAGCCCACTTGGGGTAGCCTCGAGTGTTGGCCCATCCCGGGCCGCAGGTGGAGCATCCCTGAGCGGGAGAAGTACTCCGAGCGGCTCTTCGAGCTGCAGGTGCGCTCGAAGCCGATGAGTTGATTTGAGCCATAATGAAAACCCGGGTAGATGAAGGTTAGGAAGGGACAATCCCAACTATAAATAGCTGCGGCCGCCTTCTTAATTCTTTACATGGTTCTGGGCAGACCATTTAATACCGGGTTTTGATTGTGAGTCATTGATTTTGGAAGGGGGGGTGAGGTGCCGTTGACACTCTCTGAGTCGATTTTGCTGGCCTCAAAGCCAAAAACACCCTCATACCTAAATGAAAGAGGTTAAAGCATCGATACCCTCAGTGTCCATCATACGGGGTGGGGGGGGTGGGGAAGGGTTCGGGGTTCCCCTTTAAGAGATCAAGTACCAACGGAGCGCCTTTTCTTGCGGGCTGTGGGGTCATCGTCCCCGTTAACATGAAGCCCCAAAACAGGGGGGGTGTCCCCTGTTTGCTCCATGAACATCTATCGGAGAGAACTCTGAAGGGCTATGATTGTCAAGCAGCAACCTCTCGAAGATGGTTGGTGGACCGAAGCACCAAGCAAGAGGAGAGAAGGAACCTCGAAAAAATGGCATCAATGCTACCACTGCCACTCCTACCACCACTACTACCACCACCTGCTGCCACTACCTGCTGCCACTACCTGCTGCTGCTGCTGCGGCTGCTGCTGCTGCTGCTGTGCGCAGCCCAAAGCCCCTGACCAAAGGAAGCCTCACGGAAACCACCTACACATGAGCTTCTTGTTGACGATAGGCCACGCCCTTCTTCTGGATAGATACAGTTTTGTGCTTTGGGTCCTAACCAAGGGCAACATGGTCATATCCCAAAAAACATACAGACCCGACGGACCTCACAGGCGCGGCTGGAGGTTCTCATGGGTGGCAAGGCGGCGGAGGAGTGCTTCAACCTGGATGAAAACCACAGAGATTATTTGTTTTGGCGGGGGGGAAGTTCCCCATGTGGACGCTTTCCCCGTCCTAGCTGATATGGATGTTTTTGTTTTTTTCTTGTAAAGCAGGATTTTGGAGGTATGCTTTGAGAAACCCGGGATTCTGGGCTGTTTAAAGGGTGACTCGTTTTTGGCGCAACGGCTTTTTAGTTTTGGCTTTTCCTTTTTTGGGATCCGTTGTTTTTCTCCTTTTTTAATAAGTAAATAAAACAACATAAATATTTATTTTACAACTAGGGCTGGTCCCCTGGTTACCGGTTGGTTGGTTGGTTGGTTGGTTGGTTGGTTGGTTGGTTGGTTGGTTGGTTGGTTGGTTGGTTGGTTGGTTGGTTGGTTGGTTGGTTGGTTGGTTGGTTGGTTGGTTGGTTGGTTGGTTGGTTGGCCTAAAGCATCCCTAAAGACCTAACACAAATCAGCTCCAAAGCAACCCACACCCACTCAAAGTCAACCGTAAACCGTAAACCTGCCCAACACCAGCCTGGATGTCAGCCATTCGCTTCGCCTACATCAGCCCCAAGCCACCCCAAGACCCACCCTCAAAAAGATCTAAGCCAGCCAAAAGCCGCCCTAACTTAAACCAGCCCCCAGCAACTCCCAACTGCCACCCACTCAGAGCGTCCAAGTGATGCTGGGATGCTGGGGATGTTGCCAGCCCTGCGGAAAACCAGCCCTAGGAAACAAAAAGCAGCCCTAGTTCGAAAAACAACAACACCGTTACCATTGTTTTTGTGTTTTTGGGAGGGGGGGGCAGGTGGAGGGCCAAGGCCTTTGGGCAACTGTTGATTTTGTTTTTTGGGCAGGGGGGCTCCTCCGCCGGGTTCATGGATGTGGGCAAAGGCTTTTGTGGGCCGCCCGCATGTGAGGTATGGGTGAAAATGAAACCACCAGGCTATGAACCGCAGGTATGGTGCGAACCCATGTGGCTGTGGTTGCCAAAACCAATGGGATCCCATTTTGGTTGGCAGGTGAACTCACCACCCGTTTTGGAACCTATTTGGCTATGAATTTTAATAAGGGACCCTTTGGTGGACATCATTTAGGTGGGGATTCATGTCCACCAATCACTTTTTAAGGTGGTTCCCTATTAAAATTCATGGCCATTTTAGTGGCTGGATTGGTTGATGTTCACTGGGGCCGAGCCCAAGGAGCTGGTCTTCGGACCCGAGAACGTCACCGCAGGATGCACCTCCGATCTGCGGCAGGTGGGCTGAGTCTTTTCCGGGGGTTTGGGGGGTCGCGGGGTCTTCTTTGCTCAGGGGTTCCGATTTGCTTCCCCCCCCCATTTTGGTGGTTTTCATCATGCTTTTGGCCCATGTCTGGTGAGTTTCCCTTGGTAAAGGCGATAAAATTCGGCGGAAATATAGGGAACCCTGTTATTTGGTTGACACGGACACGGGCGTTTCCGGGGCCCCGGACCTATTCTTCCTGCACTTTCTTGGTTGGGGGCTTCCGCTTCCCTGCGAGATCACCGCTTCGGCGGCAGTGGGTAGCTCCCAGTATTTCAACAAACAGCCCAAAGCGCGGGTCCTTTTACGCAAACAAAGAGAAGGCTCAAACAATTGATCCACTAAAAAAAATGTCCCGGCCCGGAAGACTTCCCGGTCTCTTTTTCCTTGATGGTCTAAACGTGTCTCAGTTGGCCACACTCCAGGAACTGGATCACTCGACGTGGTCCGCTTTCAACATCAGCATCAGTTGGTCCACCAGGTGATGTGTCAACCCGCCCGCCCCGCAAGGAATTCGGCTGAGTGGATCGGATTCAGCTGGCAGGGCAGAGGGGGGAGCTTTTGAGGTGTTTCTCACGTTTCCTGGTGGGCTTGCGCGATTTCAACAGGGACGCCAAAGGAAACGACACAGTTTGGGCTTCTCCTATTTAGAGCAATACTGCAATACTTATATCTTATTGCAAACATGTCTGGTAGCCCTGAAAGGTGGTAGTGATTTCCTTCCAAGGACCCCTCAGAATGGCATTGCTTTTGGGCTTCGTTTGAAGACCAGAAGGCAATCATGCTCAGTACTTGTTCAGTTTCCGAGAAAAGCAGCCCAGCCATGTTCACTCGCAACTTCTCATGGATACACAAAACCCAGTTGTAACCGGTGGGTTCGGTCAACCACCCGAAACACAACGGCGCCTCCTTTTTCTCCACAAACCGCTGCGTGCAATTGCAGAAATTTGGCTTGGTGGCTCAAGTACCCGGTGGCAGGCCGTAGCTGCCAAAGGGTGCACGCAGTGGCGTGTTCTTTTTCCGTCAGATTTGGGCACATTGAAAAGATGTGGGGCCCTAAGAGACTGCAATTTCAATCACTTTACAGCTTTCAGCGCTCGGCGCGTTCCCGTCGATTTGTCCCGTCTGGAGGCTGGTTTTTTCGTGGACAGGGATGACGCGTAAACAAGCTGCCGCAGCCCCCTTCAACTTTGCTCCTTTCTGTGTGATCTTCGGCATTCAAATCCATTGAAAGGTCCCACCTGGATAAACGTTTGGAATCAACAATTTGACTGGTGGTTCGTATCAATGCTTCATCCGTATGCCTTATGGTGGTGTCGCACAGTGATGAGGAATAGGGATGCCCCCCCTCCCCCCCCCAATTTTGAACAGCCCAGTCTTGATGTGTGCATAGCCTCCAGTTCGATTGGCATCCAGGCTTGGCAAAATGTTGGGTTAGATTGTTCCACCATTTGTCTGCCAACAGAAGACAACTTCCGTGCCAAGGACACTTTCTGAGTGTATTTAGTTTTTAGGGCTTAGTGGGGGTGTCCCCTTAAAAGTATATTTTTTTGCACGGGATCTGAGGACAGCCCAGTAAAGAGGCAATGGCTGTTTCCTCAAAACTGGGGGTCAAAGGTATTATCTTTTTTTTGGGTAGAAGTATGGGTGGCTCTCTTTTTTGGGGTGTACCCCTTGGGTGGGCAACCCAAGCCATTTTTCCCATAAAAAGCACACCCATATGAAGCAGAGTCAGAACATAATATGACTTTCTGTGTACACAGATGGGTCAAGAAAGGGGCTATGGCGCTATGGTTGTCATATACGTATACATAAAAAGGTCCCTGCCGACAAATGTTAAGTTTTTGTTTAATACATTTTGGATGGTTTCTACTGGCTATATGGCTGATACCGTAGGGCCTAAATTAGTAGAATGGGGTTTCGCACTTGAGAACCAGTGTTAGTCACGGTTATAGGGGTAAGCTATTCGCAATCATGCATTGCCGCAGCTCCTTATGTTACACGTGGGTGCGGCGTTTCTAGAGTTGGTAACTTGGTAGCCCTTCGCGGTCAGGCGAAAGGGAAACCAAAGGAAGCTCCTAAACCTGAGGCTCACCGACGTCAACGCCAGGTCTCTCGGGGAAAAAAATATCAACTCCCAGGGGCTAGAAGGGTTCCCTGTTGGTTTTCTGTTTGGGTCTGACCAGCGTGGGAACTGTCGACCCCCTGCACCAGTTACTAGGTGCATCACATGAGTCATAGGGTTTCATACATCCCAGCTGGTGCGAAGTGGATTTTTGGCCATCCACAGCTCTCCTTAGTACCACCTTTGACCTTTGAGCCTTTTGGAGAACGACTGTACGAATCAAAGAGTCTTTCACTTTTTCCAGGGGGTCAAACGCCCAGCCAACCAGACACCAAGCATGGGGTCCTATCTTGTCTCGTGGGGGGGGGGTTCATGGCTTTTGCACGGGATGGGGATGTTTGCGCAAGACTTGAGGAAGCCAAGGAAAGAAGGGGGAACGGGCCACATGTCGCACGCTTGCTGTTTGTTCCACCTATCAGCTGGTGCTTTCCTCCAGGGAATTTGGTTGTTTTGTCACAGACCCCTTAGCAATCCCGCAGAGGCTTCAGAAAGGGGAGACCCTTCCACGGAACCCTCATCCTGTTTGGACCATGTTCCTGCCATTCTTCCTAGGAGTTGAAGCGCCACGTGTAGCAAGCTTGTCCAATTCTCGCTCATGAGCGAACGTAGCGGCCGCATTGCCGCCGAAGTCATAGACTTGGGCCTTTGGAGAACTGGATAAGCTCACTACCCAGGCGTTTATGAAGGGCTCAAGAGACACGGTCTGAAGCTCTGACGGACTCAAACGACATCAGCAAGACTTTGCCCGAGTTTCGAGCTCGACTCACCGAGTCCGTGCCCCAAAGAACCCCAGCAAGCGCTCAGGCACCAGACGCCAGCATCAGCACCTGCAGCACCAGCGCCAGCTTCGCAACAATAATTAATGTAAATCCTCCTCCCAGTGATTATGAATGACTATCATCCTTGTCCTGGCAAGGTCTTTTCATTTTTAGGATAGAACGTGTTGGACAGGGGTCTTTGTTCCTTCAGCATGGCAAGCTTTCTCTGTCATGAACTGGAGCGTTTGTTTGAATTCGCTGGGAATTCGAAGGTCCTACCAGCTACACACATGTGTTTAAGTGAAGCGCCTGTTTTGTTTGTACTGCCCTTGTTTGGATTCGGCCTTTTTTTGGTTTCCCCTCATAGGGAACCAGGGCTTAGTTGTGTAAACACATTTTGCCAAACCGTCGAATGGACGGTCAGGGTGGGACACTATGGCGGACCGGGATGAGGACAGGGTTGGCCGGAGAGGAACTATTACCGCTGGAAATCGTATGTACAACTCGTGCTGATGTCGTGTCCGAATCAATGAACCTGCCATATTATTAAGCCGGTTTCTCCCTCCCGCCCACCCACATCCTGTTTGCTTCCAAACTGGGACACCCCGATTTACCAACCAGAGGTTTATTCATCCTGGGTTCCCGTTATGGGCGTGACACGACATCTCCCGGCTTTCGCTTTGTCTGGATATGGGCAAGAATCACCTCCAGCTTTGAGAGTGGATGGTCGCCAGGTGATTTTTTTTAGCCTGGGGCCGCGAGTGGTCGATCTATAAATTGCAAACAAACTCAGAGCCAAAATTCGCACCGCAATTCATGGGTTCTTACTATGGCTGGAGATGGAAAGACCACGCAATTTGTCTTTGACTCAAAAGTCCTTCAAGCGAATTTTGCCTGAAAGGGATAAAGTATGGAGATGGGAATCCCACTCTCCAACCAAGGCGACCCATCAAAGCACTTTTGGGGTCTGGCCAATCTTGTCGAAGAGGGGAACCCATTTTACTTGGGCAACATGGGTCTGTCTTTTTTTGCGAGGGTACCCGTTTTGGGTTGGTTTCAAAGGGAAACCAAAAGGACCACCACCATTCTTGGGGGTGCCCTAAAAACAGGCACGCTGAAATTCTAGTAATTTGCCAGAGTTTTTTTCTGTTTTTTCCCCCCCCGAAGATTTCGCCAACCCAAAATCATCTGAACATTTTACCATTCACACTGGGTATCCCATCATTTTGAATTCTCACAGTCACTACACCACTGGCGGGTAAAAGGGAAAGGACCCCTGAAACACCGTGATCCCAGATGTTCGGAGTTTAGCTTTTGGCCCGAAGCTTCGAGGTCTAGTGAGGCGGATGTTTGCACTCCCCAAACAAATTGGCGAGGGTCTTTTTTTTTTCCGCTGGAGGGATGGGCAACCGCTTGAGCGAATCTCAACTCCTTGCCGTTTCGAGGGAAGCTGGCGCAAGGAGAGGACTGAGGAGGACACCGAAAAGGAGGAGACCGACCACACGGAGCCCATGTCGAGCGTGAACCGGGAGGCCGGTTTCTCGCCGGCTCGTGCCATGTACCGGAGGTCGAACAACTCGACAGGTGAGTCCTTAGCCCCAAGGCGGCTGGCTGGCGGTTTGCTTTGTGGCCAGCCTCAAAATGTGGCCCCCTTTGTCTGCACCCGGCCCAAACAGGTACCCAGAAAAAGGACGCCCAAGTAGCATACCGAACTGCCCACAAAAGGACCGCCCACGCATCCCAGAGGTCGTGGTATGGAGGCAAACATGGTTTTATGTCCCATTATGTACCCATTGATTCCACTGGCTGAAATGAATATGTTGCGGACATCCTATTGTTTTAGGAGGCCTCACGCAAATGGAGGATTGTGTACCCGTCATGTACCCATTGGTTTAAGCATGTGACGCTCAACAAGTCCAGTAGTAAACCAGCTCCTTGCCACCCATACAGACCACTGCCCCTAATCAGACCTCTTCCAAGGCCGGGGAGGGGGGGGGGGGTCGTGTGTTTGGGGGGTGGGGGGTCCCCCATTTGTGGTTCGCCGCCGGGTTGTGTGTGTGTGTGTGTGTGTGTGGGTGGGTGTGGGTGGGTGGGTGGGTGGGTGCGTGCGTGCGTGCGTGCGTGCGTGCGTGCGTGCGTGGGTGTGTGTGTGTGTGTGTGTGTGTGTGTGTGTGTGTGTGTGTCAGCAAATTTCTAACACCAACCAGGGGGACGTTCGTACGTTCAGGCTATGTTTTTGCCCCCCCCCCCGAAGAAAGGGATCTGAGTTGGAGAGGATCCACGGGTCCTTTATTGTCCCTTTTGGATGATTAAAACATCGCTTTTTGGGCCATGTTGAATTCAGCTTCCATATTTTGTGGGGTGATGTTTAAAGCGGGTATATGACAGGATCATAGGTGTCCTTTTTGGTAGTTTTGCCAGAAAAATAGATGGCGATTCCTGCTTTACCTGATGGTTTTTTCTCATCTACCAGGGAAACCCATCTATTTCCCCTAAAAGGACACCTAGGAACATGATCGTATTGCAGCCCTGAATCTATCCACTCGTGCCAGGAGGAGGAGCCCACCTTTAAGTCTGACTCAGAATCCTCGGCGGATGGTGAGGTCTATGAGAGCGGCGATCTAAACGATGTGGCTAGGCCCCAATTCAGTCCGACTCCGGGTCTTCCGGGCTCCCTGTCTCTGTTTGTCTCTGGTCCTGTCACGTCTCTGGTCCTGTCTGGTCCTCTCTGGTCCTGTCTGGTCCTGTCTGGTCCTGTCGGGTCTTGTCTGTCCTGTCTCTATCCTGTCTCTGTACAGTGTTTGTCGGTGGTTCTCCTGTCTCTGTCCTGTCTCTGTACAGTGTTTGTCGTGTGTTTCTCCTGTCTCTGTCCTGTCTCTGTAAAGTGTTTGTCGTGTGCTTCTCCTGTCTCTGTCCTGTCTCTGTACAGTGTTTGTCGTGTTTCTCCTGTCTCTGTCCTGTCTCTGTACAGTGTTTGTCGTGTTTCTCCTGTCTCTGTCCTGTCTCTGTACAGTGGTTGTCGTGTGTTTCTCCTGTCTCTGTCCTGTCTCTGTACAGTGTTTGTCGTGTGTTTCTCCTGTCTCTGTCCTGTCTCTGTACAGTGTTTGTCGTGTGTTTCTCCTGTCTCTGTCCTGTCTCTGTACAGTGTTTGTCGTGTGTTTCTCCTGTCTCTGTCCTGTCTCTGTACAGTGTTTGTCGTGTTTCTCCTGTCTCTGTCCTGTCTCTGTACAGTGGTTGTCGTGTGTTTCTCTGTCTCTGTCCTGTCTCTGTACAGTGTCGTCTCCTGTCTCTGTCCTGTCTCTGTACAGTGTTTGTCGTGTGTTTCTCCTGTCTCTGTCCTGTCTTCCTGTCTCTGTACAGTGTTTGTCGTGTGTTTCTCCTGTCTCTGTCCTGTCTCTGTACAGTGTTTGTCGTGTTTCTCCCCTGTCTCTGTCCTGTCTCTGTATAGTGTTTGTCGTGTGTTTCTCCTGTCTCTGTCCTGTCTCTGTACAGTGTTTGTCGTGTGTTTCTCCTGTCTCTGTCCTGTCTTCCTGTCTCTGTACAGTGTTTGTCGTGTGTTTCTCCTGTCTCTGTCCTGTCTCTGTACAGTGTTTGTCGTGTTTCTCCCCTGTCTCTGTCCTGTCTCTGTATAGTGTTTGTCGTGTGTTTCTCCTGTCTCTGTCCTGTCTCTGTACAGTGTTTGTCGTGTGTTTCTCCTGTCTCTGTCCTGTCTTCCTGTCTCTGTACAGTGTTTGTCGTGTGTTTCTCCTGTTTCTCCTCTCTGTCTCTGTCCTGTACAGTAGTGTTTGTCGTGTCTCCTCCTGTCTCTGTCCTGTCTCTGTACAGTGTTTGTCGTGTGTTTCTCCTGTCTCTGTCCTGTTTGTCGTGTCCTGTCTGTCTGTCTTGTACAGTGTTTGTTGGGTGTTTCTCCTGTCTCTGTCCTGTCTCTGTACAGTGTTTGTCGTGTTTCTCCCCTGTCTCTGTCCTGTCTCTGTACAGTGTTTGTCGTGTGCTTCTCCTGTCTCTGTCTTGTCTCTGTACAGTGTTTGTGGTGTGTTTCTCCTGTTTCTGTCCTGTCTCTGTACAGTGTTTGTCGTGTGTTTCTCCTGTCTCTGTCCTGTCTCTGTGCAGTGTTTGTCGTGTGTTTCTCCTGTCTCTGTCCTGTTTCTGTACAGTGTTTGTTGTGTGTTTCTCCTGTCTCTGTCCTGTCTCTATACAGTGTTTGTCGTGTGTTTCTCCTGTCCCTGTTCTGTCTCTGTACAGTGTTTGTCGTGTGTTTCTCCTGTCTCTGTCCTGTCTCTGTACAGTGCTTGTGGTGTGCTTCTCCTGTCTCTGTCCTGTCTCTGTCCTGTCTCTGTCCTGTCTCTGTCCTGTCTTTGTTCTGTCTGTGTCATGTCTGTGGCCTGTCTGTGCCCTGTCTGTGTCCTATCTGTCCTGTTTGTCCCCCTCCCAATTTTTGATGTTCCATCTGGCTACAGGAAGAGCCTGATCCCAAGCAGGTCAAGGTACCAAGCTGGTGCCTGAACGTATCATTTGCTCGTTTGTTCAGTTGCTCATTTGGGTATGGGTCAAAACTAGGGTACCCAAAAAAGAACCCTGGCAGATGGAACCAAGGACTAAAACCTGCGGTCCAATTCCTGGTGGTTTAATTTCGACCCATACCCATTTGCTCATTTGCGCGCTGGCCTGTAGCAACCACAGCAGTAGGCCATCTTTTCAAGAGGAATCCAATGGTTGACTGCAATCAACCAGGGGTTTTCCTCTGGAAGTCCTTTGTGGCTTGTTTTAGACTGCGTACTATACGGACCTAAACAATAAGAACCGGCTTGTGGGGTTTGTCAAGACCAACTTGATCAAAAGAAGATTGGAGCAAACTAGTGTGTGTTTCGCCGCTTCCCACCAACAAACATGGAAGCGCAGAGACCCCTTGGTGGAAGACTGCCTTCCTGCTTGCAAAGTGGGATTGCCCGTTCCAGTTTCGCCGAAGTTGGCCAGACTCAAAGGGGTGTGGTAAATATAAAGTTTGGACTTTTTTTGGGCCATCCACTCAGCCAACAAGCCATGGTCAACCATGGGTTTCAAAGTGGTGCGAAGTGGATTTTGTCCATCCACAGACCCCCGAAACAGAAAGAGACATCTGGGAGCGCTTCTCTCGCCTCATCCCGACCGGGTAGCAACGTTGGTGGATGGGCCGGGACACCCTCTTCAGTGTGGTTTTCCCAAACAGCTTCCCGTTAAACCAGGTGAAGAGGGCGCCGAGCAGATGTGGGCTCTCTACCAACCCTCAAAACAAAGCCACCAAAATGGTTCTCCATGAAAATGGGTCTCCATCAAAATGGGTCTCTCCATCTAAAATGGCTCTCTCCATCAAAATGGGTTCATAAGAAAACCACGTGGCCTCTCCAACACCAACCCTCAAAACGGTTTCCCTCTGGAAAAAAAGCTCTCCGACGGCGCTTGCCTCGGGCCTGCCTAGTTTTCCGAGGCATCTGTGACGAAGTACCAGGCGCCGGGTTCGGGGCGATCGCAAAGATCGGACACGGTGTCCTTGGCAATGCCCCCTCCCCCAACATTCACCCCCCAAGACATGTATACATTTGTATACACACATGTGTATGTACATTATATAAATATACATACATACATACATACATACATACATACATACATACATACATACATACATACATACAT